TAATTATGTATCTCTTTAGCATATCGCAGTAAGTTCATCAATAGATCTCTACCTGACTAATGAAAGCTCTCTCTCTCTCTCTCTCTCTCTCTCTCTCTCGCTCTCGCTCTCTCTCTCTCTCACTCATGCCTTTGCTCTTGTCTCTCTATCGCTCCACGTATCTAGTCCAGTCGAGTATAGGCTATCTATCTATCTATCTCTATTATTTTGAGCATCATTCTTTGAGATTCGTACACCATACACAGCACTTGGCTGAATTCTTTGACTCTATTTCTCTGGCTTATTCCCCAATAAAGGATAGTTGTAGTCGACCTTTGTCCATCTCACCCAACCCATACAATCTTTTTACCAGATATTCAACAACTTATAATTGCCTGGTTGTAGTAAATATGTGCATTGGATTTAGTCACTTGACATACACATATATATGGATATATATATATTCGTCCCTCGGAACGACGAAGACCATCCAGTCATCCTGGGGTTTGACGTCAGGTTTTGTGGGTGCGAAGGTGACCGGTTAGGCCAATCCGCGCCCGGAATTTCTTGTGGCAGTGTGGACAGGGAGGATATGGATATAGATAAGGGTCAGCTGTCAATATAACATCACAAATACTTGCAAGTGGCATACAAGCGTCATGAGTTTAAAATGTCAGACTTTGCACAACAGTTAAAATATGTAAAGGTTACTAAATTTTAGTATTATGATTTCTTACTGTTTCTGATAATGAGGTCCAATAAACATGAGCCCAGTACGGACGTATCAATAAATACCCATTTTTTGCATATATGGTACACAACTTATACATACTTGGTTATTATGGGTGCATTTGATCTACTCATAGTGATGGGAATCGGTTGGAATTTCATCGTCGATCATCGGTTGACGGTTGCACCCAAACGATCGATGATCGAAGATAATTGGTTGAATGTTAGTGGTCGCGGCTACCAGATATTGAAATATATAATATATCATATAATACAATATACTAAAAGCTATGTAACAGTATTATGCTTGCTTATGTTTGGTGTAGGTGAGATTTACTGTCTCCAAGCTGTAAAGTAACCAAGAAAAAACACAAAAATATTTAGTTTGCACATTTTATTTGAAAAAAATTGTTTTAAATTTTCTGTTTTTGATAATCGATCATTTATTTTCATAATTGAGCGCTTAGTTGGTTGCTGCAAACGACTAACTTTCGATTATAATCGATCATCGGGACATCACTATCTACTCATTTTGTACACAAACAGATAGTGATCTGTACTATGTACCACTGTGTCAAGGCTGTGATTTTGTCATCCATATCTGATTTAGAAATATCTGGTTGATATATTTGCCACTTCAGTTTGAAGATGTCACTCCTATTCAGATTATTATAGACTTACAATTTATTTATGCCAACAACCATCTCCTATAATGCTCCTAGTTAATTATCTTGTCATAAATTTATAATTTTTTCTCACCTCAAGATAGCAAGCCATGTCACATCAACCTCATTAACGTTGACATGCTTTACTGACATACACGATAGTAACATTCATTCTGGTGTACGCTGTTACTGTACATCTATAATATCACTTCTGCCCGATTGTCATTTAGTATAATAATATTGGCATATGGTACGGTCATGTTTACAGAAAAGTATGACTACATTGGCAAACTGCTGAGGCCAGGGGAGGCTCCAAGTGAGTATAGTGAGGATGATGAGGAACCAACTACAGCAGCACCCGCTACTAAACCCAAGGACGAATAAACTACTGCGTGAGAAGCCGGCTGACCCTCTTACGAACAACCGATTTGATTGGTACACGTCGTCACCAAAGAGATGTTGTATTAGTTTGGTATATACTACAAACATGACACGATGTAAGATGTAACAGCCATGCTTGGCAGGGCTGGATCGGTGCTTGTCATTTCAGTGTCTTTAAATCAAGTTGAATTTAGTAAAACTAGTGAAAATTGAGAAAGACCGAATTTCCTACGTCCTTTAGTATGACTCAGATGTACTCTTCACATAAGCATTTCCAGTTTTTCATTTGAGCAATAGTTTCCTTCGATTTTAAATGAATTAATTGCATTGGATATTTTAAAACCGTTTCAGTGTTTGGCAGAGAAATGTGTTACAAATCTAATGATAGTGGTTAACATGTCATACGATATGAGACCACAGTGGCTGTTTTAATGAGCAATCATATCGTGACCACCGAGGCATAGACCCGTTCACTGGTCCATCGCGTAAAACTTTAGGAACTGAAATTGTAATTACAAGAGAAAACTGCTTTGGGGTGAATCAGCCTTTATTAACTGTAATCTAATTGTTTTCCATTTGACTTAGTGTTTTAGCCTAGTCAATGCTCTTAACTTGAGCAAATAATATCTAATAGTTTTCTTATTGATTAACGACAATGATATTTCACACCAGTGGTTACTTGGACAAGGTTAAAAATTATGTGGCATGAAACGTTCATGTATCATGATGAGGGCTACCTTATAATAATAAAAATAATTAGTTCAATATATTGTTTTGGAAAAACAGTATATTTTTAAAACGTCTGCTAATACTTTTACAAAGTTATAAATGGATTTGCTTTGAAATTGACAACTAATTGTAATAGAATGTTCTTGAAGTTCTTTGGATTTTGTGTGTGGTCTTATGGCGGGTGTAAATGTTTCCTCTTGCAATATGCTACTAGGTTAGTGAGTGTCTGGCTTACTTATATCCAACTCTGTCATTTTGTGGTTATGTGTTCGAATCAGTATTAGCTACAAAAGGACAGATCGGTATGTGGCCACTGATATACAATTAAACATTGTCGAGTTCGAGGCGATAGGTTGTAGGGTGAGGTGGTACACCATATTGGAGCGTTCCCTGCACTCCAGTACATTGCATAGTGGATGAACATCGTTATATGTATATAATTTGAGAATATGAAATGTAAATCAAGATAAAACTTGAAACGTCTTGAAATTAGAATGCTTTTATAATTTAAATGGTCGTATAAAAAGTTTGTGTTTTGTGTAATAAAGCAGTGTTTCTGTAAAAAAACGTGGATCTGCCTACTATCTGTACATTAATCACTTAGCAGCGAAAATTAGTAGCTCATATGGATGCAGTCAGAAATGTTAGACATTAAATCACAATAGGTTCGTTGTCATGCCACCGTGACGTCATCACTTCGGTACTCTATAGGTATTGATAATGTAGTCACTGGCTTAATTATATTGTTACTGAACAATTAACTTGCCACTACATTCAGTTCATGAACATCTCTTTATTAGTTCTGCAATGACATCTTAATTTTGCATAAATTATCGACTTTACTATGCCATTTGTGCTGTCAGATATTGCAGAAACCGTCATTCCTCCAAGAAAGAACATTTGTGTCACATATATACATTTACATCATAGAAAAACCAATATTTTGTGATGGGGTAGATCTTTTTTAAATATATATTTATATGACATGGAAACTTTTTCAATTTACAGCAATTTACAACAAAATCATTAGCAAATAATATATCACGCCTGAAACGGCAGTGTAATTGAGATTCCGCAACACGACTGAAATCACATCTAAATTACTTTAACTTGTGTTCCTATTCAGATAATAAAGAATTGTATATCATCTTGTTGTTTTCTACAAAACGTGGACACAGCACAGACGTTTCTAATGCACAGAATTTCTGCAGGTCAGTGCAAGCCTGAGATAATTTCCTAACATCTGGTGTCCATTTGCACTGTTCACTGACCAAGATTTGGCCATTAAGTGCACTGCTCACCAAATCACAAATTGACTAATAAATGCTTCTTGCACTGACTGAAGACTGTACTGACAAGCCAGAGCTCACCGACTTTCCAAGCAGAATCCCATCTACAAAATCCTACACTGACCAAAACATAACAACCACTCGGGGCTAGAATGAATATAACATCACGAACATGACAACCTACTTGAAATGAAGGCTTTCATTTAAATTATTACAATGTCACATGTGTCATGTCAGGAACATATTTTCTCTTATTCAATCCAAGACCTGCATTTTATTTATACAAAGTATATGAATATGGTTTCTATAAGAATTAATTTGGCTTTTCCTCATACTGTCATAAAGGAGTAATGTTTGACAGCACTACCTACTAGCTAGCACACTCTTGAGTTTTGGCTTCTTACATTTGTTGTTTTCACTGACAAGCACAGATTTTAAACGTGTCGTTCCGTGGATTTTCCTTCGCAACTCTTCTCGCTCCTTGTCGCTTTGTTCCTCCTGCTTCCTCTTGAAATTACGCATAATCTTCTGCCTAAGTTCTTCTTCTTTTTTCTTTAATACTTCCTGCAAGATAAAGGAAACCTCACATTCACAGCGTTAGACATGGGTGAACTGGAAAAGAAGATACGGTGAAATAAAATCAATGGGATTTCAAAAAACTTAATTTCTGATAGTATCCAAGACTTGTCATGAAATTTAATGGATTAATTTAGATTTATTAAAGTCTCTTGTGACTCCTCTGAACAAAGGTTACTCTAGCAATATGACATAGAGTAAAAAAATAACCAGTAACGTAATTATAAATGGTATATAAATGGTATATGGATATAATATCTACCAACATGCCAACCTCTGCATAATCTAAAACCTACACTCATAGAATTTCAGCTTACCTGCTTCAACTTTAGGTTTTCTTCTTTCCTTTTCTCAACATCAAGGATTCGTTGTTTCTCTTCCTCTATTTGTCTTAACCGTTCCAGCTCACACTCCCTTACCTTTTGTGCAAGGTCCTCCTTAATCTTAATTTCCTAAAACAAAAACAAAGCGTAACTTAATTGTTTTCAGTTCTCCATATATGTAATTGCAATATTAACTTTCAGAGTCATTTTTTCATTCTCACTGTGTGCGTCCAGTGATTGTTATACAAACGAGATGTGCACCCCACACCTTCAGGGTCCTCTCACATGCTAGGTGAATAACCTAATATGCATAGACATACCTCATGCAATTGAATATTAATTTAACGATTGAAAAGATACATACACACTGAACCTAGCTGAAAAAGAGTTACTCTACAGTCCTGACACGTTAGGAGTTATGAAATCATAGACATAGAATAAAATCTGTATATGACGTACAAATCCAAAGCATTCTCTGGTGTTATATTAGTGATGATGGTGCTCCAAACAATTCATATTCCTCAAGCTGATGACAATCTGTTACTCTTACCAGATGGATGGCTGGCGGGCTGGCTGGATGGATGGGTGGATGGATGGATTGATAGATGGATGGGTGGATTGATTATATAGACATATAAATAGAGATGTAGACAGACAGACAGGCAGACGGATAGGTAGATAAATAGATAGATACCAGACAGACATATAGACAGACAGACAGATGGACGAACAGACAGACAGACATACATGGATAAATGAGTTTATTCTGCTTCATTATAAGCCAATCAATACATACAAGTACAAAATAAAAATAGAGATGAGGTGCAAGTAGAGAGAATTAGCAAATGTTTTCAATCCTCATTTCTAGAGATTAAAAGATCACAGATATGCTCATTGATAGAGATCTCAATAACATGAAGTTGCGTCATTAACTGATTTGGTTTGATAAATTTAAGTTATATTATGGAGAGATAACTGTATACGGTCAACATGCAGCATTGCCATACTGGGAACGACTTTTGCGCTTCATCAATAAAACTTACCTTTATTCGTTCAAACAGAACTGTGAGCAGATGGATAGATTCTAGCTTCCTCTGTGCAATTAGAATCTTCCTCTCTTCTCTTGCTATTTTCTCCATCACCTTTCGCTCCTCATCTTCTTGCTTTTTTGTTAACTTACGTTGCCAACGTTTCTCTTCTCTCGTTTTCTGTCTAAACTTTTTTCTGTCATACTTCTCTTTCTTTTTCTTGGCCTTTTCAATTTCCTCTTCATCTTTCTTTCGTCTAAAAATTCGTCATTTATTAAATATGCATTCTTATGCACACAATACATTACATGCTATATTATAAGTTTTTGAATTTTTGTGTGTGGCTCGAAGACCAATGTTACAGTAATGTTATAGACTTTTACATAACACATTCTGCCAACTATATATGCGAGTCAACATTAGGATACTTTTCACCCTACAAATCAAATGTGCACAATGTAAGGCCGTTCTTTTATAAGTTATCACATAAAATATTCACATAACTGCCGTCACCATTTCCCAGAAGTACACTGAAAAGTAGAAATATTACCTTTCCTCCTCTTTCTTTCGTTCTTCTTCCTCCCTCTCCTTACGAACTCTGTCCTCTCTCTCTTTTTCTAACTGATCTAGTTTCTCACGTTCTAGCCTTCGTTTCCTAATGTGCTTATCGCCAAGGTGCTTGGTCTTGTCAAAGTCAATCTAAGTAAGCAAAAATAACATGTAAGTTTTGTATTTCTTTAGAAAATTAATAAAAGATACAGAATAATGAGCAGGAATACATGGTGGTAACAACCTGCATTGTGATACTTAGGGTTACGTAAACTTGCCACATTCGGGTATCATAAATTCGCAATTTATACACAATGTCCACTTAACTCACGATACCAAACAAAAATTTGACATACCCTAATATGTCCTGCATATATGTTATGTATACCACATAATTAAACAACTAATATATATGTTTGGCAGCATTTACTTACACTCATGCCCTGCATCTAATGTACTCCACAGGAAGGATACTAATTCATTTTTTTAACTCTTTTCCATGTTACATCGTTTAAAAGTCAATATATATGTTCGTCAATATTTACTAGAATTAATTATAACATTGATACCAGGACAAATGGCAGGATCACCTTACCTACTTCTTTTGGTTATAAGAACATATCTCTAATTACGTAATAGAAGTCAATAGCCTCGTTCACACGAGACCTCATATTTCTGAAATACCGGATTTGCGAAATACCGTATCTGAGACAAATACGCGGCCGAGCGTTCACACGCTGATTCGCAGCTCCCGAAATACGGTATTTGCGAGCTGCGAGCTGCTTTAAACAATCAAGCGAACAATGCGAAATAAACAATGCAATGCGCACCAACTGCCGATAAAATACGTAGACTGGTCCGCGATCGACAGTTCCACTCGCGTTACACTAGAACTGTCGAGCGCGGACCAGTCTATAAAATACGTGGCTTCAGAAATCCGGTATTTAGCGTTCACACGAGGAAATGCGCGGTCCAAGAAATCCGGTATTTCTCAAGCACGGCAAATTATTCGGGGTCTGGGAAGCCTCGTATTTACATGAAATACCGGATCTGTTTAGATACCGTATTTCTTGGGCCTCGTATTTTGCCTCGTGTGAACGCTAAATACCGGATTTCTTGCTACGTGTGAACGCTAAATACCGGATTTCTTGCTACGTGTGAACGCGGCTAATAATGCAACATGATTCACGTTACGAAATTTCATGTTACAAACGTTTTTTTCTGGAACACATCACTTGATGCAGGGTATTACTGTGCAAAATAGATATCAAAACAAACCTTAATGTTAGCCGAGTAGGCTTTCCCGTCGTCATCCTTAAATAACATCTTCTGGCCCCGTAGCACTGTCATACACCGGACGAAGGCCACGTACTCTTTGTACTGAACAAACGCGTCAAAGAACAGGTCCTGTCCGAAAGAAAATGTCTGAATGCCCTGCAGGTTTGTGATTTCCCTGCGATATGGGTCCAAGCATGGAATGTCTACGCATCTCACTTCCCCAAACGTGGAGAACACTTGCCGCAGGATGAAGTCACTAGGGCGGTCCTTCAATTTTTTGTGTCGGTCCGCAAACCACTTAGTTGGAAGTCCTTGCATGTGGATCGTGTCAGGTCTCTCACCTGGCCTCATTTCGTTCATGTTCTTTGCATCTCGGAAGAAAGACTCCCAGTCGTGTCGCGAAGGAAAAGGCACCTTGCTTTCACACGCTCGAATCTTCAGTTGCTCCGTGAAGCCGCTTAATTTCATCGTCTTGCCATCTAGTCTCGCTATCACTGGTGGAATCACACTCTTGTTCTCCATCTCCGCCTCGAATCGCACAAACTCAAGTGCACTTTTCGTGACTTTCAGAATATTAAACGGGTCCGGTTTAACCATTTCTTTCAGTTTCTCCATGACTTCCCAGTTGGAAATAGATTTTCCAGGAGTTTTGAGTTGCGGCATTTGAACGGTGATGTTCAACTTTGAGATTGGCTTGAGATAGAGTCCCTGTTGTGGAAATAGGCTCTGAGCCTCCGTAATGTCATTACATAGTGTTGGTGCATTAGCCATGGTGATCCCTTTGATTTAGTTGAATCGACTGCTATCTCACAAAAGCACTGGTGGTGTCAGCTTTGCATAAGAGCCATCTGCCTAAAACATTAAAAACAAACATGACAATGCAGAAAATTTTAATAGAAGTACACAAAAAGAAAAAAAAATAAAAAAACAAGTGCGCGCGGAGCGACAGCGCTCATTCTAACGTCTACTGCGGTGACTCTGTGGTGGAGTGGGGATTCTAGTAAACCCTGTTTGCCAAATGTGTTCACATACGCTGCCGAAACAGTGGAAGGCACAGGGATGGTATCAGGAACCTTCTCGAAGGAATGTCGTTGGGATCGTTATGAAAGTTGCCACGAGATGGCGGCAGTTACGCTTAAGTGTCTTAAGATTAAAGATGGAAGCTCCCATCGTACGTAGTAGCAACAACTATTTGCAAGACAGAATAGGTAAGCACTCATCCATTTACCTACGCAATTACAGGCTGAAATAGAGAGCTGCCACCTGTAACTAATTAACGCAGGCCCAAACATACACAGTACTATCACCACCACCTTTGACCTTTGACCCCCCGCTTCGACATCCCAACTCGTTTTCGGATTACCCCCCCACGTCCCAAATATCGTGACCGTACGTCGAGCAGTTAAGATTTGTGCCCAACTGTTGACAGACGGAAGGCCGGACGCACGCTCATGCGATTCTACAAGCTGCATCTGACTATGTCAGATGAGCTAAAAACAGCTCACAATAACAAGCCTATTTCATCAGATTCCTTCTAACTAGACTTCTAATAAGACTGAATCAGAACACACTAAATGCCCTTATGGTGGTGTCTGTGGAAGGCCCATCAGTTCAGGACTTCCCCTTCCATGAGGCAGCAGATGCCTGGGCAGCAATTAGGAAAAAGAAACTGGGAATTTAAAGCCTTTATTACGAGATTTGATTTTCTACTCAGCAACGGCGCTCAATCCAAATAAAATATAGCGAAATATAGTTTCACCTTATAGTATATTTATTTGCATTTTTTGCACATTGCTTTATAACATTTTACTGGTTACATTCACACTAGTATACAAATTGAACAATAAAAAATGACTCATCACTCATGACTCTTGACTCAACCCAAATTATTTTGAAATATAGGTCATAAATTTTGTGCAAAAATGCTCCAAAATAAGGCTCAGATTGCACCAGAGAGCATCTAAAATCCCTGAGCTTCCAGGGCTCTGGCCGCAAGTGACTTCTCCCCTTCGCGCTTGTGGTGTGTGCTTCGCGCACATAATTTCACGTAATATCTAAAGTACTCCTCTAAAGTTCCCAGTTTTACATGTTTGAATTGTAGGTTGTGGAACACGTCGTTGAATCTACTGAACGGCATTTACGTAGAATTATTAATCGATAGGATATAGAAATTCTATTAGAATGCACAAACATTGTGACTTTGGTGGTAGTAAATTCATCTCGTATTTATTTACCATCACTTTACTGTTTAAGTCAGGGATGAGAATGGCCAATGACAAAAAACACTGAAAATGGCCGGGGGTCTAGGGGGCCGCCTTATGCCCCCTTGTGGGGTGCAGTGGGGATTTCCTGAAGCTGAGAGACAATCACATAATTATGAGCCTTCAAGTGGCCTCAGATTGAAATAAAAAGCTCTAAAATCCCATGTTTACTCACTGAATTGTTTTACTGAAAATAATTTTTAGTCTTAAATCAGGCGAGTGCCGAAGGCACTTGACCCAAATGGCAAAGGCGTTTGAGGGGGTGGGAACAGAAGGGGATGCCTCCCCTAAAGCGCGGGGGGGTCGCAACCTCCCCCCAAGAAAAATGGATGCTCTGTGCTGCATTCATAAGGTGCACATAAGGATGCGCATGGGGCACGTTCATTAATATGTAGGGGTGGGAAATTATGGGATGAGAGCGCAATTTTTACACAAATAAAATCAAAATTCGGACAAGTAAAAATTGCTTCTTGTTGCCGGACAGGACAACCACATCTGAAAATAAGCGTTGAGGCCTGGATCAATAAAGACACGCCGCGACGGACACTACGAGAGCCAAAACCGGGTCCAAAACATATCCTTCCCCCCCTGATATTTTCTCATCGAATTTACACAGATCTCATTCTCAAGGACGGCCCTGGCGCCCACAAAAAAACACGGAAATTTGCGGATCCGCGGAGAATTCTCATCCCTGTTAAATGTTCCAAGTGCCTGTGGGCTAGATGGTAGCAACATATTTTTGAGTGATGGTGCAACACCAGGGTTCTCCGAGCTTTTAAATTATAGCATGGGGTGCTATTCACTGCTAGGGGGGTCCGGGGGCATGCCACCCCGGAAAATTTTTAAATTGTAGAAGCTCTGAGATGCAATCTGGGACACTCTGTGTGTAAATTTGAAGCACTGCATGTGGGGTAAAAATGTTTGTTTTGCATGGGCAAAGCCATCGAAAAATTCAAAATAATTAATGGAATAAAAATACCAAAATGTAGGGGTGAACTTGCTGGTTTGCTGGTTCCAAATCGAGTTCACCTCTCATAAATAAATAAAAAAAATGGCAGGAGTGGTCGGTAAGTGTACCAGTCTACTATACCTCGTGTTAGACTGGGTTACAGTGCCCTGCAATAATGCCGTTGGAAATTAATTCACGATTACGATTTCTTGATGAGCTAGAAAACACTCGGATTTGAAGTATGAAAATGAATATTATTGTGCCAGCTAGCCTACACCAGTTGGTTGGGATTGATTGTCAATTCAGATGCAAAATATTTAAAGCAAAAGGTTATACACCATAGATTAATTTTGGTACTATAACACGCGTATATAACATAGCCGAGTCGGTTTAGATTTAGTGTTATGGTTAGAGATAGGGATAGGGATAGGGTGACTGTTTGTACTTGTGCGTGGGACTGCCGTACCCGTAACCCGACCAGGCTGTGTGACTAACGTCAATACATATTCTAACCCTAGCAATACCGTTTCCTGGAGCTACCGTACCCGTAGCATTGAGACCAACGTGTATTAACTGTTTGAACTTCTTGTGTATACACCAGCATGGCGGCTATGATATTTAGCATGGCGGGTGCATTTTAGGATGGCGGGGCTCGGCGATAGCCTGGTGGGCCGCCAGGCTATAAGTGCCCTTGGAGAACCCTGAACACATATGCAATACACTTGTATCAGATACAAGATTCAAAGGATGTAACGTTCAATAGGAGAACGTCAGAGTGGAAGCTGATGCTAATAATTGTAGAAAACAACACTAACCAATTTAAGTCGTTAAACTGTAGAGCAAAGGCTGTAGTAGTAGTAGTACTAGTAGTACAACAAGAACTTTAGATTAGACGGGTTTGTTTAGATAACAACCACTAAACCTAAGCCGACCAGGCTGTGTGACTAACGTCAATACACCTACAATTGCTAGGGTATCTAACCCTAGCAATACCGTTTCTTGGAGCAACCACTGAACCATGATCATGCAGTTTCACAAAAGCTCCGTACCATAGCAACTAGTCTGTAGTCACTATCATATGCATAGAGGTAGACCAAGAAAGGTCAAGTAGTTGAAGTAAGTAATGTAGGTAGGGAAACTATAGTAGTAACTTGTAAGTCGCACGAAATTGTCATATCTTTGATAATCATAAACTTATCATAGTTGCGACACCTACTGACCTAGGTCTACATCCAGCTTCTCAATTATTGAGTCAATGACTACAATATCTTTGGCTTTCAATACGTTTAACCCCGAATTGGAACAAAATAATAACAATTAAATTCAAGATCAGTCACACCATTTCCAGGGTTACGACAGGTGATTCATTTCAGAAAGAATATTAACAGGTTATTTACAAATTTACGACTTTACTGAGAAAGATACACAAACCTGACATTGCCATTAAAATAAGGATGGTCTTTTGTTAAAAATATTTTTCTTCTAGTATCGTATCGTATCGTACATAACTTGTCGCTTCAGGTTCAGCCACAGACAATGCTACGTTTACTCTGTGACTATGTTCCCGTGGGGCGGTTCCGTTGGGTGGGGCGGTCCGGTGGGTGTGGTTCCGTGGGGCGGCCACGGCAGCCCCGTTTCATCCCGTGGACAAAACGGGATGAACGTGAGACAACGCGGGGGGACGGAATGGGCAAACGTGACAGGCCGTGCATGATTACCGTGGATGCTGCGCCAGATTTTTAATCTGTCAAAAGATTTGCCATGGCAGTCACGGTGCGGATGAGAAACCTAGTAGGCCGTAGTAAAACGGCGTGAACGCAACAAAACGGGACAGTACGTAATAGGCCGTAACAAAACTTGGAGGCGGTCCGTAGTGGAACGGGAAGCATGATGTGTATTACGGGCCCGGCGCGCTACGGCGCGTTGCGTTCTACTACGGTCTGACACGGCGCGGCCGGTCTGGGAAGGAGTATATAAAATCCGGGCCAGGCAGGGGAGCTTTATTCGAATTCAAT